CTCCCTCACAGACCCCCCTCCACCATCACGCCTCAACAGTCCACACTAACAACGCCCAATTTCGCCACTACACGTCAAGATGCTCCTGCCCACATTAAGAACTTTACTCACCGCCTTGGGTATCCCTTTAAGATTCTTGGTAAACACTCATGTTTTCCTTCACGACCTCGCCACAAGGGCTGTGACCAGCTTAACTAAATCTCTCTCTGAGTTAGAAGCCGTTCTCACCAAAGTTCACATCAATTATTGTCGCTTTGACTGTTTTGTTCACACGTCTTGTAATGCTTCTCACTCTCGACTTTAACTGCGGTCAAGCCACATAAATGCCAATTCGAAGTCTGTTTCAACAAAAATCATTTTCAGTGCAAATTGCAGGCTTTGTTGGGGCTCAACATAGTCAAGACGAGGTTAAGATGTATTGTGAAGCCAAGAGAAGAGTTCGCAGTGATTTTCACCGTCTCTTTTTTTTCTATTTGAGTCGTTCAGGATATCTTGTAGATATCGTGATTGTCGGTCACAATTTTAGTTATTATTTAGCGAGATTTTAAGCCCACGGAGACGACACCAGCTGAGGACGTCTACTTCAAGGCGTTTATACCAGTGTCTTATTAAGTCCTTCTTCGTCGCTTTTTGAACTACGACAAAGAAATTCATTTTCTCAGAATTGTTGCAAACTATCCACAAATTATCCTCCTTGCCTGTTGACTAGTTATCCAATGTGTTTTAATCCACATCAGACCATTAATTTCAGGAACTCGATAGTGGAATTAGATTGTAATTACCATCTTCATATTAATCATCCTTGCGATCTGGTGACATCCTAAGATAATGCTCATGACTTGGGTTTTGGTTTGCTGGTGGAGGCCGCAGGTGGGTGAGAGAGAGGCCGCAGGTGGGTGAGAGAGAGGCCGCAGGTGGGTGAGAGAGAGGCCGCAGGTGGGTGAGAGAGAGGTCGCAGGTGGGTGAGAGAGAGGTCGCAGGTGGGTGAGAGAGAGGTCGCAGGTGGGCGTGAGAGAGGTCGCAGGTGGGTGAGAGAGGTCGCAGGTGGGTGAGAGAGGTCGCAGGTGGGTGAGAGAGAGGTCGTAGGTGGGTGAGAGAGCCCGCAGGTGGGTGAGAGAGGCCGCAGGTGGGTAAGAGAGGTCGCAGGTGGGTGAGAGAGGTCGCAGGTGGGTGAGAGAGGCCACTGGCCGCCCACAACAGTGTCCAGACGCCATCAACACGTCGTCCTCCCAGATAAAGCCTGGACACTCGCCCACCTTCGCTCCGCCTAATGAACCTTGCCTAAAAATGTTGGCTTGAAGATGTTAATGCTCGCCACTATGTGTATCGGGGGGGAGGTGGGGGAGAAGCTGAGTCCCTCCAGCTCCCACATCCTCCATCCTACCCTCCCTCCATCCTGCCATCATCCCTACACCTACCACCATCATAATACCCCTTCCCCCCCTCCCCTCCACCACACTATCTGCCGTAGCCAGGTTCCAAAAGTTGATCCGTAAACAATTGTACATTTATAATTGAGTTTATGTAAAATTTCAGCACATTTCATGAGAAAATCTCTCCCTTTCATCTCTCATCTCTCGCATTTTCCCCCTTGCTCCCCCCCCTTTCGTACGGCTCTCATTGGCCCCCTCTTCTTCCTCCCCAACCCCCCCCCCTCTGCTTCAGCATTTCGACCACTAAAAACTCTAGGGGAATGTTGACCAGACCACACACTAGAAGTTGAAGGGACGACGACGTTTCGGTCCGTCCTGGACCATTCTCAAGTCGATTTAGCCTCTAGGGGAATCACACCAAATATTTCAAACTTGGTAAAAATCGCTGGTGGGGGGCGGGGGGGGGGAAGGGGAGGATCTATAAATGCTAACGTTTCATACAGCATTTCACTAAGGCCGACCGCGGCCAGCCTGTGACATTCCCGTATCCCAGACCATTCCCCCTGCACAGTTGCGGGAGTCTAGCCCAAGGTCTCTGGCCTCCTATTTAGACATACAAAGCCATTCATATATATATATATATATATATATATATATATATATATATATATATATATATAACTATATAACATATAGTTATATATATAACGCGCATATATATATATATATATATATATATATATATATATATATATATATATATATATATATATATATATATATATATATATATATATATATATATATATATATATATATATATATATATATATATATATATATATATATATATATATATATATATATATAGATATATATAGATAGTTATATGATATATATATATATATATATATATGAAAATGTCTGTTTATTTGAGGTTGAAGGCCTGACGTGGAAGAGGGGAGAAGGGAAGAAAAAGTGGAGAAAGAACACTAATATATATATAATATATATATATATATATATATTATTATATAATATATATATATATATATATATATATATATATATATAGAAAGGGGGAGGGGAGAAGAGGGAGAGAAGAGAGAGAGAGAGACATGGATGTGTGTGTGTGTACTTACCTAGTTGTGCTTGCGGGGGTTGGGGTTGGGCGGGACCAAAGAGCTCTCTGGCTCTTTGGTCCCGCCTCTCAACTGTCAATCAACTAATATGCGTGTGTGTTTATAAAGATATAACAAGATCTAATTGTTGTATCTAAGATAGATTGTGGTGACGGGTGTGACATGACGTGATGGGCAGCCAAGATCAAAGTTTAACAACCTGGCATCAAATGTGGGGAACAATTTAGACGAGACTTAGATAGGAGGGACGACAACTGTTGTTAGAGTAACTCCTTAATATAGCACTAGCGAAGTTGGGGAATGGGGCTCCCTGCTGCTTACTAACCAAGGGTATTTCATCTTGTAGACCTGCCACACCTTACAGATCTGCCACATCTTACACACCTGCCACACCTTACAGACCTGCCACACCTTACAGACCTACCACACCATACAGATCTGCCACACCTTACAGACCTGCCACACCTTACAGATCTGCCACACCTTACAGACCTGCCACACCTTACAGACCTACCACACCTTACACACCTGCCACACCTTGTACTCATCTACCATTCTTAAGCTGCCGTGTTATAAATATATTTATATTTCTAGCAGAGACAGAGTGAATGGTAATTAGCGAATGTTGTTAGTTGTGTAGATGATTCATTTAGGGAGAACGATCATTCATCTGTGGAGTGTAGGTGTGGAGTGTAGGTGTGGAGTGTAGGTGTGGAGTGTAGGTGTGGAGTGTAGGTGTGGAGTGTAGGTGTGGAGTGTAGGTGTGGAGTGTAGGTGTGGAGTGTAGGTGTGGAGTGTAGGTGTGGAGATGAGACCAGGCAAACAGTCACAACACGTGAACAGTTGTTCAACTTAACAAGAGCCATCATAACAACTGACTGGTATTAAATAACTGTAGTGTTCACCCAAGCCTCAAGATGGGCCTCATTCACTCATAACGACATCTGTTCTGACTTTCAGGTGTCTGAAGTTATGAGGTAGATACAGTAACTTAGCACCTCATATATCAATACAGAATATGCGGTCATATTCAATGAAACATATATATATATATATATATATATATATATATATATATATATATATATATATATATATATATATATATATATATATATATATCTTTTTTCCCCCTAAAGCATTTGGAAGGTGTAAACAGAACTTAATCCTCGTTGATAAACACGCTAACATTTCCCTCTCGAGGAAAATGGAAATTATTTTGGGAGAAGTGGGAGAAGAACTCTTATCACTTCAGTAGCACAATAGTCCTTTAAAAATACTCCTTGGTTACCAAGAAGTGTACAAGACGGCCACTCTAATCCTCGATGACACAGAGGAAGCCAACAGCTGGGGTGTTGTGGTGGCCAGAAATATGGGCGGTTCGGAACCACAGGGGACAGGTGTTGCTCAGGTGTTAAACACACACTTACCACCCCTGGACAGGTACGCCACACTCAGACACCTGTGTGGGTGAGAGACATACCTGTCGCACCCATAGTCTTGGGTTTTTGTTTACTCTCTCACCCCCTTCGTCCTTTTTTTTTAATGTCTGCTGCCTCTCACTGTGGCTGTTGTCTGCTGTCTGCTGCTGCTGCTTTTGTTGTTCAGTTCAGAGAGATGTGAGACAAGGCAAGCGAGGGGCAGATAGTGTGCTTCTCTGATCTCTGTCCTCCTACCCTCACTAACTCCCTTACTCTCACCTCACTACCTCTCTCTCTCTCTCCCCTCACTACCTCCCTCTCTCTTCCTGTCCCCCTCTCAGACCTCCTCCCCCTCTTTCCCGTACCAGGTGATGCTCACAAAAGTCAATTGCAATAAAACTCTCCTCAACATGGTGATTGTAGAGAATCTGCGGCACTCTACTTTTTTGTTGCCTCTCCCTCCCTCTTCCCCTCTCTCTCCCCTCTCCTTCCTCCCCTCCCCAGTTTTGCCCCCACACTCTGCCCCCTCCCCACCCCCCCTCGCCGCCAACAGCCACACAGTAATTAAACTGTGCGGGAATGTGCGTTACCGCCAATTAAATGTCCGGCAGTGTTGGAATTGTCACCCCCCTTTTCCCCCCCTTTGGGTCGTTAGGCTCCTAGATGGTTATTGGCTTGTGTGTTGTTAGGGGGTACTGGTTTCGTGGGGGCGGGGGGGGGGTACTGGCTTGGGGGAAGGGTAGGGAGTGACATGTGCATCGGAGGTGTGTAGGCAAGCACGCACACACGAGCACTAGTTGATTGACAGTTGAGAGGTGGGACCAAAGAGCCATAGCTCAACCCCCCCGCAAGCACAACTAGGTGAGTACACACACACACACACACACACACACACACACACACACACACACACACACCTAAAATTAAAACAACTAAGATTATATATATATATATATATATATATATATATATATATATATATATATATATATATATATATATATATATAATTGTATTGTGTGGTAGAGAGGTGTTGAGACCTGGTTTCTCTGCTCCACCAACAGGGACGCGTGGGTGTACCGCTGGCAGCTTCCCCTGGTGGTGCTGCTGCTGCTGTACCTGGGCTGGTGCAGCTGTACCACTGACCCCCACCACAGCTACCCGGAGGAGGTGAGTACACTACCTTTTCGCATGTTCAGGCAGTCATTCTGTAGTTTCAGGCAGTCATTCTGTAGTTTCAGGTAGTCATTCTGTAGTTTCAGGCAGTCATTCTGTAGTTTCAGGTAGTCATTCTGTAGTTTCAGGCATTCATTCTGTAGTTCCAGGAGTCATTCTGGATCTATTTTGTAAGTGGCGCGTTGAGTTTTTATGAAAAGGGGTGTTTGTAATGGGGTGTATTGACCTGTTTTTGTAATAGTGTGTTGAGCTTTGGTGTGTCTTTGATTGAAAAACTTTTGTTGTGTTGGCCCGAGTCTATTGTTTTGGTCATGGGGGAGGTCAGGTGACTTCCAAGTGTCTTTTTGTTTTTAAGTTGATGTGTGTTTTAAGTTAATGGTGTATGAGCCTGAGAGGCCTCCTGTCGTGTTGTGTGTGTGTGTGTGTGTGTGTGTGTGTGTGTGTGTGTGTGTGTGTGTGTGTGTGTGTGTGTGCGGGGTCAACCCTCATGCTGTCTCGTGGACACAAATCAAGATTATTATTTTATTGTAAATATGTTGCACAGTTTTCGCTGTTGTGTATCGCAATGTTCTGAAATACTCTTTAATATGTAGATTATTGTGATATACTTTGCTATTCTTTGTGTGAATTATTCTTATACAATGCTACTCATGTATAATGAGATATACTAACTCTCACTATACACTAATTTAAATAAATATATGTATATATATATATATATATATATATATATATATATATATATATATATATATATATATATATATATATGTATATTTCTTCTTGTAATATATAGCTAAGACAACTTTGCTGAGTATATGTCTGTCTTGATGTTTCTCTGCTGCCTTATTGTCTTGATGTCTTCATCATGTGATGATGTAGTGTTGGCTGTAGAACGATTCATCATATAATGATCATTTTCCCAACAGCACGACAGCTCGTTCATTAGGCCTACTAGCAAGCCTGTAGACGTAAGTCGTTTTTCATCCTTAAATCTCTTTTATATCGCACTCCCTTATTGCTTTGTCTTGCCCCCTTAAGCGCTCCCCGTGACGAGACGATAGTGTGTCATAAATCGCTGTGTGTGTCAGTTTTTACTTTGTCCCTCTAATCTAACATTCACTGTATACAGGTCCGTGAGTATAACCTGTTTGTTTGGCGTGTTTGTCTTGTTTATTCACACTGATGATTTCCGGCGTCGTTGGTAGAACAGCGGACGCGTGACAACAGTTATTTTTATGATATTATTATAATAATATAATTAATAATTATTACTCTTCGCTGGGTCATGAAGGAAGCGGGCCTCGGGTGAAAAAGGGCTGTGACGATCTCTGTCTGCAACCCGTAGGTACGGGACCGGGTCGTCCACCTCCTGGGGCCTCCAGGCTGTGCTTCAGGAGGCTGGGGTCGTTCTTGCCCCTTGCTGGGGTGGTTCTTCTCCGGCCCCGACCACGGCGGTCTCCGGGTCTGGAGTCCCTGTGCCTTCTTCTACCAACTTCGAGGTCAACTCCGGAGCTGGAGCCCCTCGGGGTAGTTCAATGCCTCAACCTCGTTCTGACAGTTCCTGCGACGGCGCTGGAACCAATCGTATTGGCGTTTGCCTTTCCATTGGAGACTTTCGACGCCGTGGAGAGTGAGGGGGGGAGGGGAGACCTGCTGCATGGGTGACAGCTTCTCCCCAGTATCAACCTACTCTGACTTTGCGCCCTGGTGAGGCCACTCCAAACCGACAACCAGAGAGCAACTCCATAGTCTCCCGAGACTGATGGATGCCTACTACTACTGTCTTAGTACTGAGGTGGTGTAGTATCTTGGTAATCCTAGAAGCTCTTGCAGTTTCTGAACCGTAGAAGCTTCTTGTGGGTTGTAACGACTTCTTGTACGAAGAACTAATTTTTTTTTACGATCCATCCTTCTCTCTAGAGCAAAATTAGAACAAAAGATTAAGTTTGAGAAATACATCTTGAGTGTTTGACTAATACATCTGACGCCTGACTGTCAGAGGAAGTTTTAACTCGGTGTAATAAAAGCTGTATTTTATCTAATCTATATTATTGTGAGTTTATGCTTAGTTAGACTTTAGTAAGGTTTTGGTTGCAGCCCATCCTCCTGTTTTGGTAGTACTTATAGTAACGATGAGGACCATAGTATATATACCGACGTACAACGAAATTAGAAAGTAGAAATCTGAACTATTGAGTTGGACAAACCGGAAAACTATTTTTTACTTGTGTTGCTTTGACAAACTAAACTAACCTAACCTTCCTAGGCCTAATACACGATATCTGAGGCCTAATATAGTACATATGTGTGCTATACTAGGCCTAGGAATATTTAAGTTTGTGTTTTAGCTTCATTTATTTTAAAAGAATTCCTTACTAGTCAGTATACTACTATCTAAAAGCTAAGAACGTACGAATTCGTGACTATTGACGATAGTCACAATAGGTACTATCTAAACAGGAGGATGGGTTGCGACGGGAACAACCCAACTACTTTGATCACCCGGTAGTCTCGGACTCTCCCGACCAGCGATAGACTCTTGTCGCCAAGTTTCCGCAACAAATAAGCTAATCCCACATCAAAGAGAACGATGTAACGGAATGATTCCATCGCCTGTGTAGGGGAATGTTGTGAGGTGTTGGCACCCCGTTACCTGTGTGCCAAGCTGGCTTACTACACATTGTTGTCGATAACTCGTTGTTTGGGCCCTGTATGATGTTAATAATTGAGGTGATTTTGGCGGTGAAATCACCGTTGTTGGTGATTTTGTACTCCCCGCCGGATGGTTGCTGAATGTTGGGGTACTCATATTGGTGGTGGTACAATGGTGGTGTGGTGGTACACTGTGGTGTAGCAGAGTGTGTGTGTGTATAAATCGGCCGTAATGTTAAACATGCCATAAATTTGAATGCTTATCGTCTCCATGTAAATACTTTGATCCGCCAGGATTGTACATGTATGTAAATGGGCTTCAAGGCTGCTAAACCTGGCTGTGGTATTGACCCTTTGTGTCGGGCACCGGTCCCTGAACCCCTTGTGTCGTGCACCGGTCTCTGACCCCTTGTGTCACTCGCTGATTGAACCCCCCCTTGTGTCACACACTAATATATTGACCTCTTGTGCCTTACACTAATACATTACTCCTTGTAATGTATTAGTACATTACTCCTTACTAATACACCTTGTGTCATATACATATACATTGACCCCCCCCCCTTGTCATATCTAGAGTTTAGAACTAATACTTATCTTGCTTGACCTTCACCTGATTTAGTGAACCTTTTTGTGACCTTAAACTAACATTCCACTTCACCTGTCAGACTGGTTGCTAGATCACCGACGGCAAATGCTACTCATTGATGTTCTTTCTTTAACACTGTGTTAATGTTCTACAGGTGTTTGCAGGCTCATTTTAACACTTGTGGTGTTGTGTATTAGTGTAGTGGTATAGTGGTGGTGTGTAGTTGTGATGTGCACGGACCTTGTTGATTGTAGGTGTGAGCGTTGTGCTATGATGTAGTGGTGTGGTGTACTGTGGTATGGTGTGAGGATATTGTGTGGTGGTAGTGGTGGTGGTGGTTACCTTGAGGTGCTTCCGGGCCTTAGCGCCCCTGCGGCCCGGTCGTCGACCAGGCCTCCTGATGGTGGTAGTGGTGGTGGTAGTAGACTAACAGCTTACTATCCTGCTAGCCTCGCTAAGTGTCGCGTTCCGCCACTCCCACTGGACTCTCGCTCCAGGAATGGTATCATGGATTTGCTCCTCGTGACACTTATTCCAGAATATATGAGACGGGGGCGCTGGAAAAGGTTAGGTATTCATGCTACTTTGCATTTTTTCGCTATTACTTAAATCACATGTTTATCGTGATAAACTATCATGATAAACTATCTATAATTGGCTTTCCATTATCACAAATTTGTATTACACACACACACATATGTACACATGCACTAAATATGATCCACCAGTGATTAAGGGGATAACAAACAGGGAAATAACGAGAAAACTAAGTTAATTTAATTCAATGTGTGGGAGTTCTATTAAAATAAGGCAAAAATCCTAGTTATGGATGATTTCCTCAACCAAGAAATTGAATGGGAAGCAAGAAATCCTCCATGGGAATAAATGTGTAGAGCCACTAAGCTAGTGGAGACCATGTATGGAAACATCCTGATACAACATGTCAGAGAGATAACTAGGTTCAACTAGGTGATGTTTGTTTAAGAATAGGTATTATCTTCACCCAGAATGAGGTAGGTATGGAGACGATAGACTGCCAGATACTTATAGATGCTGGGGACGCCTGAATCGTCGGGAATATGTGTAGTTGTGATGTGTGATCTCGGATCTATAAAATACGAGGCCGTCGATACAGAAGGGCGAGGAAAGTAGAGGATGGGTACACAGACCTTCCCACCTCACACAGGACTCGAACTTACGACCTCTCGCTTGTCAAAGACACAACTAACCACTGCACTTTTGGACCTAAATATATTCCAGTTCATAGTATTGTGTTCGTATGACTCGGGTTGAATGTGACAACATTAATGATTATGCTCTTTATATGGGAACTTTACAGCGTCTGATGCAGGTTAAAATACTCAAAGATTTTTATTAAGGGATTTTTAACATTTTATTCAACTTTTCCAAGATCGGATAACTTAGGCTTTCCTGCTTAGAAGCGTCTCTCGCTCTGAATATCGAGGAGGTTGTAACCTGTGCCAGCCAGTATATATATTTGTCCAGGTGGATAGAAGTGGTGGATGGTGGTAGTGGAGTCAGTGGTGATAGACGCGCCTTAAAGGTGCAAGTGAAAGACTTCAACAAGCGTGAATTAAATCATGTTCTAACAAATATCACCAACCTAAACTAGAACACGAACTAGTGGATATAAACTAAATAAGTTTAGTTAATAAATAGGTAAATAAGAGCCTCTGAAATGGGGTTACAAATGTGTGGAATGAGTTACCAACAACCCCATAAAACCCCAGCACCCCACACACACACACACACATACTGTAGTGACCGGATATGGGCGGCAGCTTCCTTGTATGGGCCAGTAGGAGCTGCCTCTCATGGGTTACCTTAGGTTAGCGTCGCTTACGTTACCTTAGTTTACTTTAACCTGCCTTAATTTACATATTTAACTCATTAAAATTAATTTGTCATTTGTGCAGTTTAATATATAAGTATATTTGCAGTGTGTGTGTGTGTGTGTGTGTGTGTGTGTGTGTGTGTGTGTGTGTGTGTGTGTGTGTGTGTGTGTGTGTGCGTGTGTGTGTGTGCTGTGACCTTACCCCGGTGGTGCGCGTCTGGGGTGGTGTTGGTATTGCACACCAGAACTCACTATCGGTGACACTTATGCAAATCAAGAATGGAGCAGGACCTGGGACTGACCCCAGAGGCACGCCGCTTGCTGCATCTAGCAGCAGCAGCTTGCTGAGGCGTTTCCGTCGCAGAACCAGAAGTTGTTAGCGTCCAGGGAGCCAATTTTCCAGTCGTCTTGGCATACTTCCACCTATTTCTTGCACTTTATTAAGATCAAGTATTTGAAGGAGTATCTCTGTAATGATTACATTACAAAACTAACATTTCAGGCGTTACAAGAGCAAGTCAGTGAGCCTGGAATGTCCGTGGGCACGATGTGCAGTACCTGTGGTGCCCAGATAGTCGTATATTGTATCCGGGCAGTCCTGGGTATTGATGAGACCGAAGGGCACCATGTTTATTCATACCCAGGCCAGGAACTGAGGCACAAGGAGCATATTAAGGGTTGTAAGTCCTGGTTGGACGCCTCAACAAGCCAGAGGGTTCTATCGGCATATTGGCCTTAGTCTGCCTATTGGAGTCTAGGAATGTGAGAGTGAATGTAAGAATATTCGTAATGATGGGAGTGTTGGCAGATGTAGAAGCAGGAAGAGCAGGTAACAGGCTGTAACAGGTAACAGGCAGTAACAGGTAACAGGC